CAGTATAGTCATTTCTGCATTGTTTTGGGGAGGTCACCTCCTAATAAATGTCCTTACAGAAAATCTAACTGCTCATTTTAAATCAATACTTTTACTTTTAATACTTAAGTACAAAAAATATCAGATACTTTTAGACTTTTACTCAAGTAATATTCCTAAAGGAGACTTTAATTTTTTGGTAAGATACTTGTACTTTTACTCAAGTATCACTTTGTGGTACTTTATATAACACTGTAAATTTGTAACATTCCCTGTCTGTTCAAAAACAACTAAAGTCTTTTGGAGGTGTTTTAAGTCTTTGCAGTTTATCAGGTGAGATAGGCTGAGATATTTATTAYGTGTTGTTAATATATATGGTATTACGGTGACATCAGTAACCTGCATTCTTTAAGAAACCCCAGAGAATTATTTTCACATCGACTGTGGTTTCTTCACAAACTTCTCCTTTTATAGCTGTTCGCTCTGTGTGTTTCTATTTTTGGTAGCAGTGATTTGTGGAGCACAACATAGGTGCAGAAAAGTGTGAGACTTATGTCCAGAGATGCATGCCTTTTACATTAAGCAGTGTTCACTGTCAGCTTCAGGGAAACTACGAGCTCAGAACTGATAATGAGCATTTAGGAACACACAGGCAACATAAAAGCATCGTTTTTCTGCTTGTGTGGCATCTGAGCCCATTTGTTGAATAAAGTCCTTATAATTTAGATAAATTAGGCCTGAGTGCTGATAAAGAAGAGAAAATGATGTCATTGCCCTCCGAGTGATGACTCACAAATTCCACAAAATCTGTTATCAGGAGCAGAACACAAAGAACAACATCTAACTGCTGTGTGTTTCGAGGCGACACAGGCTCCTTTTGTTCACAACGCACCATGTTTTTAATCAGGTGTATACGTACCAGCTGCTGGAGGAGCAGGAGCTGGCACCGGAGCCAGTGCAGGACTTGGATTTGGACCAGGTGGTGCTGGAACAGGATTTGGGCCTGGAGGAACTGGGACTGGGTTAGGACCTGGAGGCACTGGTTTTCAGCCCGGAGCTGGACAAGGAGCGACTAGTGTTGGTCTAGGAGGAGGTATGGATTTCAATTGTGTTTGCTCCTTGTTTTTTTTTTGTTTTGTTTTTTTTTGATGATGACTTCAGCTTACAGTGAATCTGAGAGGTAACAGCTTTAACTGCTTTGACCCTCAGCACTTTCAGTAAATGCAACATTTTTTTTTCAGTTGCTCTTGAGCTAACATGAAATGACACGTAAATAAACACAAACTACTGGAGGACAGTGTTTCTGTGTCTCARATCTAATGAGTTCCTCGTGTTGATTTCAGCCTCATGAAACAAAACACAAATCCAGCTGCCAGTCTGAGAACAATTGTTTTGCCTTTTTTTCCTGTTTTCAGTAACAATATCTGGTCTGTTTCCATCCACTGAGTCATACATTGTTTTTAAYTTACTTTCACTTTGTTCCTGGGGGGGTTGGTGGACAAGGACCGGGGGGAGTTGGACCAGGAGCTGGTCCAGGGGGATTCGGGCCGAGCACCTTCGGTCCAGGTAGTGGTGGACTGTGAATATATGACTGATAAGGAAAACCAGTTGAAAGCTTGTTTACTGTACACTGTAAAAAATAACTTGTAAGATGTACTTGAAAAAATCCTCTAACAAATTTGCACTAACGTTTGTTAAGTAAATTTAAATGCTACAAATTCATGTAATATTTACTCATCATTATCTAGTAAAGGTTATTAAGAAAATAGTTAAAGATTTGTGAATAAATCAGGTAAATTTTACTTAATTTGCTCAATTAAATCTTGTAACATATACTTGATCAAATTCAGTAAAATTTACCTGATTTATTCACAAATCTATAACTATATTCTTAATAACATTTACTAGATAATGATGAGTAAATATTACTTGAATTTGTAGCATACTTAACCAACATTAGTGCAAACTGTTACAAGGATTTTCACATGCATTAAGCACAATACTGTATTATAGCATGACACCTCACAGCTGCAGAGAGAGGTGTAGCTCATGTTGTAGTT